GCTTGGAAGGGCAAAGGAGCTTCAATGGATACAAGGTTTTCAGGTGGGGAGAAATCCTGCAAACTTGGTCAATGTACCACACCTGTTATATGCATATGACACATTGATCTTCTGTGGTGCAGAAAGGTCACAAGTAATCAATCTCAACCTCATCTTACTCATTATGCTTAAAAACATTATTCTATCTAGTGAATGAAGTTCAAAATTTGGAGGAATTAGCTGAAATACTTTGTTGTCCCCTTCGAAGCCAAATTCAAATCCACTGGAATTTGGAATGGAGTCATTGAAAAAGTTGAAAAGAGACTAGCAACCTGGCAAATGCAATATCTCTTTGGAGGGGAGTGGGGGGGCAGACTCACACTGATCAGTATGTCCTTGACAGCATACCAACTTATTACATATCTTTGTTTCCTATGCCAAGCTCGGTCCTAAAGCAGCTAGACAAGCTAAGAAAAGGTTTTTATGGGAAGGAAACAGTGAGACTCACAAATCTTCACTTGTTAGGTGGCCAAAAGTAACTCAGCCAAAGTCTTATGGGGGATTGGGTATCAGGAATCTTAGGTTTCACAACAAATGTATGCTAATGAAATGTCTATGGAGGCATGGACAAACTGAAACAGGTTACTGGAAGGAGATCATTGACGCCAAATGTGGAATTCAGAATCACTGGAGCCTCAAGAAAAGTTCAGCACCTCATGGAGTGGGTCTATGCAAACACATCAACAGCTTTCAAAATGATTTCTTTCCGAATACATCATTCAAAATTGGTAATGGTGTTCATGTGAAATTCTAGAAAGACATGGCTTGGAAATACAGCACTAAAGGATTGGTACCCTGGTCTATACCTAATAGCCTGCAATCAGGACTCAAATATTGCTCAAAATAAAGAAAACAACATTTGGAATACGGTGTTTAGAAGAAATCTTCGTGATTGGGAAATCAATGACTTACTTGCTCTCTTAGCCACACGGGGAGATTTCATCACCGAAGATCAACAACCAGACAGAATCATCTGGGGGAATTCAAAAGAAGAATAGGGCTACAACTTTATGTGTCACGGAATGGAATATTAGAGGATTGGCCTGGAAACATGTCTGGAGGACCAGAATGCCCCTCAAAGTAGCATGCCTCACATGGGGTGCCCTCAATGAAGTTGTTTTAACACATGACAATCTTAGCAGAAGGAGCATTATTGATAGCAACCATGGAAGCTCAACTTCATTGGAGGAGCAAATATTATCCTATCAAGATTAGAGGAGGACGAATCTTCTTTGAGATGGGGACAATGATAGCAACCATGGAAGCTCAACGTCATTAAAGGACAAGGATGAAGTTTTAGAAGCTCCAAGAAGGCCCATGACAAGATCTCAAACGAAGAAATTTCAAGACAAGCTCAATGAGCTTCAATTAGCAATTAAAAGGTGTCTTATGGTGGGAGAAAGACTCCAGCCCAAGGAAGATATTTTGGGCAAGTATTACAACTATTTGGAGGCCCAAATTGAAGTCCCAAGGGAGGTGGAATGGGGCCCAAATCAGCCCCAACAAGGAGAAACTTAAACAGCCCAAACTAGTATTAATTCAACCTAATTTCTACAATCTTCCATTAATGCTTTGTTGACTATATTGAACAATATGTGGGTAGTCTTTAATTTTGACTATATTGAATAAAGTGTGAGTGGTCTTCAATGTTAACTACATTGAACAAAGTGTGGGTGGTCTTCAATGTTAGACTACATTGAACAAAGTGTGGGTAGTCTTTAATGTCGACTACATTGAATAAAGTGATGGTAGTCTTTATGCACCTAGGGATTTACTAGCATATTTATTTTTGTTTTGACTTTTGACCGGCCCTTTTTTACAACAATATAAAGGGGTGCCTTGCTCTTCATTGTAACTAAGTTTAATGAATATTAATATTATTAGCCTTGTGGCTTCTAAAGAGCTTGGAGGTTCTCTTTAGGGTTCGCCCTTTTTGTTCTACTTTGAACCGTATCTTGGATCCTTCAATAGTAAGATTCTTCGTTTGAGTTCCATCCCTCATAGTCTTCTTCTTCTTCTTCTTCTTCTTCTTCTTAATTGATTCATTGCTTCTTTTACTATTAAACAAGGTTTTAAGTATCAAATACTTGAACTTGTTTTCTTCCCTCTTAAGAATCAATCCTCCCCCTTTCTAACTTCTAATTCTAAAGTCTTCCGATATCCGTGTTTGTTATCAAGTAGTCAACATTGAAGACTACCCACCCTTTGTTCAATGTAGTCAACATTGAAGACTACCCACACTTTCTTCAACATAATCAAAATTAAAGACTACCCGTTTTCTTGCTCGTTAGTGCTTGACTAATAAGATAGAAGGAGTCTTTCTTGCTTGTTTAATAAAGTCAAGCTTTGGCAGTAGGGTTGGGGTGGCTTGTTGGGGTCACGGATTAGTTCGTTCTGCGCCGCCAACGGCCTCAACTCAAAGGCGCGGGTTGATCTCTCTGGTTGAGGCTACTACCCACACTTTGTTCGATATTGTCAACAAAGCATTAATGAAAGATTCTAAAAACTAGGTTAAATCAACACTAGTTTGGGCTGGTGAAGTTGCTCCTTATTGGGGTGATTTGGGCCTCATTCCACCTCCCTTTAGACTTTATATTTGGGCCTCCAAATAGTTTTAAGACTTGCCCAAAATATCTTCTTTGGGCTGGAGTCCTTCTCCCACCATAAGACACCTTTAAATTGTTAATTGAAGCTCATTAAACTTGTCTTGAAACTTCTTCGTTTGAGATCTTGTTATAGGCCTTCTTGGAGCTTCTAAAACTTCATCATTGTCCTTTAATGACGTTGAGCTTCCATGGTTGCTATCAATTACTCTAGTCAACAGATACTATATGTGCCAACAGAGATTATAAAGTGTTAACCATTTGTTTCTACATTGCCCAATCACTGCTAACATTTGGAACTTCTTCCTATCCATTTTTGGTATAACTTGGATCATGCCTCACACCATTAAGGAAGCCTATATTAGCTGGATTTTTTGGAGAGTTGACAAAGCCATTAAAAACATATGGAGAATGATCCCAGAAGTCATATTTTGGATTGTTTGGAATGAAAGAAATAGCAGATGTTTTGATGGAATATCAACTCCAACACATTCCCTATAAGTTAGATGTTTAGTTAGTTCGTTCAGTTGGAACTTTCTTTCCACTGTTAATAGCGTTGACACTTTTTCAGATTTTGTTAGTTCCTTAATTATAACATAGGTACTCTTATACTATAGCTTATAATGTATTTTGTCTTTTAGTATGGGAGCTAACACAATTTCTATCTTTTGTAATTTGGCATCTTCATAATGCCATTTTAATGATATTATCTTACTTCGTAAAAAAAAATCAATCAACTGTCTAGAAAAGAGCTCTTCAATTTCCGAGGAAAAGCTTCTTCATGTACTTCAATCAAAGGACCTCTTTATTTCCGCTTACTTCCCTTCAAAGTAAGCAATCCTACTCCCACCTCTCCAAGACATTTCAAGCATCTATAGGATACCATCTGGACTACATGTTTTTCTAATCCTAATATGTTTCATGGCATCTTCTATCTCTGTCGCTCTAATTTATAAGGATAACTAAAGTTTCTATCCTACACATGTGTAGAGATCTAAAAAGTTTTTCATGTGGGTCAAGTTGACCAATTGATCATGATAGCCTCTCATCTATTTAACACGCTTCACCTGATTTAAGTCTATACTCTTCTCTCTCAACAGTGCTAGTTTAAACATTTCTTTCTTCATTTCTCGTGCCCTAACTTCTAGTACAAGATATCAAGGGCTTCCCCTTGAGTTTTTCTAATAACCTTCTTCGCTTCCCTCTTAGCTCTATTATACTCTTGAAATGCTTCTCCATCTGTTGGGTTTTATAATTAGAGATCTAAGTCCCATAATGTGTGGGCATATTTGGTTCTATGATGGGATGATCCATACTCATGTGGTAGACTCATTCTTGCACTATTTTAATCTATTATTAGAATTACGTTAGTACTTTGACTATAAGCATAAACTTAAAGGCCTAAAGGGCCATGTCCTTGGGTGCATCCGTGAGTTGTGGTGTGACGCTGCACAAAATTGTATGATTATTTTTTACAGCTATAAATTTTGAGTGAAAGCCGGAATATTTTACTACAACTATCTTATTAGTTTTTGTTTTAATATTTTTATTATTATTTATTAACAATAACATGAAGTGAATATTTTAGAGTAGAGAAGAGAATGATAGTTTGATCGTAATTATTTCGTTTTGGAGGTATAAACATGTTTATAATACATTAATACCTTAAACAAGTTAATTATGACATGTATGTAAAATACAAACATGACCAATTAAAAGGCACTTAAATAACAACCATCTAATTTAAAATTCAAAACGTTTAAATAAATAATAATAATAATAATAATAATAATAATAATAATAATAATATTAATAAAATATTTAATTTTGGGCTACCTTTAGGCCAATGCCCAAATGCCAAGTGTCATCTTTGATTGTATAAATTATATACTCAATTTTGACTTTCCCTCCAAAATTTTCCTCAAAGAATGTTACTACTTCAAGTGGTATAAGAAGTGTTCAACAACATTTCTTTTCTTTTGTATTCTACCAAGTGAGCGACAACTTGTCTTATCTTCCCAATAACTAACTACATTAACAATCATAAAAAAGCATTGAAGAAAACTTTCCTCATGGGAGGAAAAATACATTTCATTTCAGGTGATAAGTCTTTTGAATTTATTGACATTAGTGAGGATTACGACAGATGGTTTGTTTTGATTGAGCGGGGGACAAGATTCACTAGCAGAATCAAGATCGATGAAGAGAACTTGCGCTGGGTTTGTGAAACATTACAGAAAGCCTCACGTGGTCAAGGCAACCTCTACCGGAGGTGGAGGAGGAAGATCCATTCCTACCTGTTCAGAGTTTATCAAAACTACAATGTTTATGGCAGATATGTTAGAGTGGAAGCATGGTTGGGAGATAGAAGTTCTGCTATCATTATTCCAGAAATAGATTACAACAAGGGTTGGGGAGACATAGCAGGGAGGATCCTACAATTTCTGGGGAAGAGCATCAACATCAGATTTCAGAACTTTACAGATGTGCAGAACAAGAAATATCTGGATGCAGCAAAAATAATCCAGTGGCCAACGCAACAGACTGAGTCACAAGAGCAAACTAAGAATGACAGGGGTGACGGAAACAGAGATGATGAAAACTTCTTCTCCAAATGCTTGGTGGGAACATTCAACGACGCCTTTAATCTCAGCCCCAACACGGAAGTTATTAAAAAATAGTTTCTTTACAGGTGGAAGATTACTGCTAGACTTATTATTACACCATTAGGCCACAATAAATTTCTCTTTGAGTTCCCATCAAGGCTTGAATCGGTGCGAATCATAGCTGGTGAGTGGTTCTGGAATGGCAGGCGTCTCACGCTTCAATGGTGGTCGCCGAAAAATGGTGCAGCTCCGACCAACAACAAATCTGAGCAAAAATGGATAAAGGCCTTTGGCATACCATTGCATGCATGGAACCCCAATACCTTTCAGTTTATTAGAGACAACTGCGGGGCTTCATTGACACTGATGAAGACACGAAGCTTAGTTCACACCTTTTTTGGGCTAGAATTTGTATTAATTTTAAGGAAGGTGGTTTACCCAACAATTTGGTACTGGAAATTGGGAAGTTGAAGTACAAAATTACGATTTTGGATGACAATCTCGTAGAAATTGTCACCGGTGACGGAATAGAGAGAGCTAGAGGGGAGGTGAAGAAGATGAAGTCTAGTACAGTAGCTTCCTCGAGCCACACAAAGGCTGCTGATGTCCAGCCTGTCAAACCTAAGCCTTTACATTTGGGTTTGAACCACTTTAATTAAAATAAAGTGGTCAATACACCTGCTGACCCAGTCAACACCCCAGCCCACTCAGTGAAAGCCCAAAAGGGTAAAGAAAAACAACAGGTCTTGGGCCATAAATTGGATCAACTCTATTATTCTAAGGGCCCAAAAAAACAAAGAAAGGAGAGCAAATAATAAATCAGTATGGAGGGATGTTGGGCCAATCTCTGATCCTTGACTCAACAAGTCTATTGGGCTCTTGATTGAAAACAGGTTCGACCCTATATCGGTGGAAATACAAACAGCCTGTGCAGAACCCACTATAAGAACTCCAGCTCCACAAGTAACCACCTATGAGTTGACATCAGAGGCCGTTGATGAAGCAGATCGTGCAACTAACATCCACAATCATGTACGCCCTTGGATACCGACATCAGTACCATCAATTATAAGCTCTTCAGAGGCAGATTTATCCCCTTCTTCTGAATTCCTCTCTCTTCCATGGTATGGCATGGACAATTCGGGTTTGCAAGTGATTCAAAATCCTGCAGTTGTGGAAACATCAAGGTGGACAAAATCAGTTATGTCTAAAGCATGCAAAGCATTTGGGTTAAATGTTGCTGGATTTGAACATGAAATTTTTGACATCATACTGCGAATGGAGGAAAAAAGGCGTCTACAACTACAAAAACAAAAATCAGTGGTGGATCCCAAAGAGAGAAGCAAAAAGAAGCAAACAATCGAGCTTGAAAGACTGAAGTGTGGACTTAATTATGAAAGTAGAAGCAAAGGGGACAGGGTCAGGTACTACAAAGCCTTTTCTGGATGAAAATCAAAATTCTTAGCTGGAATGTGCAGGGGTTAAATGATGGGAAAAAGAGAAGTACAATCAAGTCTCTAGTACAGAAATGGAAAGCTGATATAATATGTTTGCAAGAAACAAAAATTGAGGAGTGGCCAGTTTCTTTGGTCAGACAGTTATGGGGTAGCCGTTGGGCAGAATGGGCTGTCCTGAACTAAGTTGGTTATAGTGGGGGAATTATTATGATTTGGGACAGAAGGAAGTGGAACGTCCTAGGCATTCAACAGGGCACTTACACTTTAACTTGTATGCTAGAAAGCACACAAGATGAGTTTAGATGGTGCTTCACAGGGGTCTATGGCCCCCATACAAACCCGGAAAGAGAAGAGCTTTGGTATGAACTCGCAGTGATTAGAGGCATCTGGAATGAGAAATGGGTGATGGGGGAATTTCAATGTATGTAGATACGAAAGTGAAAGATTCAATTGCATCAGGAGATCTAAAGCTATGAACTCTTTCTCTGCCATAATTCAAGACCTTGATATTATTGATCTTCCTCTTCAAGGGGCCTTCTATACTTGGTCCAGGGGTGAGATTTCACTACAAGCTTCTAGGATTGACAGATTTTTAGTCTCTAACGAGTGGAGTGACAGCTTTGGGGCTATGAAGCAACTTGCTCTCCCAAGGGCAATTTCTGATCACAACCCATTGCTCTTAGAATGTGGCGATTGGGAAACCAACCCCTCATACTTCAAGCTTGAGAATATATGGCTCCAGGTGGAGGGGTTTTTAGATAATGTTAAAGCTTGGTAGCAAAGTTATGATGTTGGGGGTAGGCCAGACTTTATACTAATGCAAAAACTAAAATGTCTAAACAAAGATATTTCTCACTGGAACAAAATGGAGTTTGGTAAGCTGGAAACAAAGAAAAATAAGGCTCTGGTGGAGCTGACCTTGATGGAACAACAAACTGAAGGTAGATTGCAATCTCAGGCTGAAAAAGAAAAGATGATAAGGCTCAAAATGGAATTGCAGCAAGTAGCAGTTGAAGAAGAGATATCTTGGAGGCAGAAATCTAGGTGCCTATGGCTTAAAGAAGGAGACAGGAATACGAAATTTTTCCAAAGAATGGCTAACTCTCACAGAAGATCAAATAATATAGACAAACTAAAGGTTGGAGAAGAAATCACAGAGTACAAAGAGGTCATCAAAGAGGAAATCCTAAGATTCTATCAGGGGCTATACACAGAGAATGAGCAATAGAGACCTACTGCCAATTTTGATAATCTAGCATGCATCTCCACAGAGGAGAAAGACCGGTTGGAAAGGGTGTTTGAAGAAGAGGAAGTAATAGCAGCAATCAGGGCATGTGCACCAGACAAAGCCCCCGGCCCAGATGGTTACACTATGGCTTTTTTCCAGAAAGCTTGGGATATTCTAAAGCAGGACATCATGGGGGCTTTAAACCACTTTCATCAAAATTGCTATATGGTTAGATCTTGTAACGCCTCTTTCATAGCATTGGTCCCTAAGAGGAAGAGTGCTATTGAGCTCAAAGATTTCAGGCTTATAAGCCTCATAAGCAGCATCTACAAGATAACAGCAAAGTTATTAGCTGAGAGACTCAAATCAGTGATTGGGAAGCTCATTTCAGAGAATCAAAATGCCTTCATCAAACAAAGGCAAATTACTGATGCAGCTTTGATTGCAAATGAGATGTTGGATGAAAGGCTAAAAAGTGGAATTCCAGGCATCCGNAAAACACAACAAGAGCATGCTAATGAAATAGCTTGGGAGATTCGGGGAGGAAGACGCCAGCCTATGGAAGAAGGTGGTGACTGCTAAACATGGACTACAAAATCACTGGTGTACTAAACTCAGCAGGTCTCCTCATGGTGTTGGCCCATGGAAACACATCAGTAGCCTTTGGGAGGATTTTTCACAGAATATTTCATTCAAGGTGGGTAATGGGTTACATGTTAGATTCTGGAAAGATATCTGGTTGGACAGTCTCCCACTGGAAGAGAGCTCTCCACTACTGTTTCAGATTGCTAGTGATCCCAACTCTACAATAAGTCAATACAGATCAGGAAACTCATGGGTCCCACTTTTCAGAAGGAATATGCATGACTGGGAGTTAGGTAGTTTGTTTACATTGCTTGGTAGACTGGGAACCTTCACTATGAATGAGCAGATCCCCGACAGAATCAGATGGGTTGGTTGTGACTCAAGTCCATATTCAGTGAAGATGGGCTACAGACGCATATGTGAGCATAATGGAAACATTGACTCGTGGCCATGGAAGCTCATCTGGAAGACAAAGCTTCCAACAAAGGTTATCTGCTTTACTTGGACTGCACTCAAAGAAGCTTGCCTAACTCAAGACAATCTCTGCAAAAGGAGCTTTCAGCTGGTAAATAGATGCTACCTATGTCAGCAAAGTTCTGAGTCAATCAACCACATATTCTTACATTGTCCAGTGGCAACAGATATGTGGTGTATGTTTCTTTCTATCCTGGGAATAAGCTGGACACAACCACAGGGCATCAGGGAAGCAGTGGAAGGTTGGAGCAGCTGGAAAGTTGAAAGGGCCATCAAGAAAGTCTGGAAGATGATCCCAGCATGCATTTTTTGGTGCATTTGGCAAGAAAGGAATCGCAGATACTTTGATGGCATTTCAACTTCTATACACGCTATCAAAGCCAATTGCCTTGTGCAACTATTTAGTTGGAGTTCTCTAACACCTATAAACAATGTAATTCCTCTTCTAGATTTCATTGGATCTCTGAGTCTAGCTTAACTCAGTTATATCCTTACTTTTGTTTTTGAGCTAGCTCCCTAAGCAAATTAAGTCTTTGTAATGGAGCTAACTCAATTACTTCTTGTAACTTTGCATCTTCTGGATGCCTGCAATGAAGAATTTTATTTCATCAAAAAAAAAAAAACTAACTACATTAACAATCTTCCACTTAGTGATTGATGTAGTTATTTATGATTTATGCATATAGTAGTTGTATTTGAGCCCACTACTTATATAAACATTTTAAAATCTCATCAAAATTGATAGTAAGGATAATTTTCTGTTAAACCGCATTCGTTTACTGACGAGATGAAAAAATTTATACACATAAAATCATACTCCCTCCGTCTCAATTTATGTTAATTCATTTGACTGGGCACGAAGTTTAAGAAAAGAGAGAAGACTTTTGAACTTGTGGTGTAAAATGAGGCACATATATTTTGTGTGGCTATAAATCATCGCATAAAGGTAAATTATTTCCAAAAAAAAGCACGGACTAAAAAGGAAATAGGTTCACGCAAATTGAAACGGAAGGAGTATTAACTTCAAAACGTCTTTCACATGAGCTTAGCACCATATTATGACCTTGTGCTACCTCCTAAATTCATAATTTCAAACTTAGATTGAAGCAGCACCATTTCGTGTTTATATTGGTGAAGATTTAATCAAATTCTTAACATTAACTTTCTAAGTTCTTAATCCGAACTTTGTTTCTACATGAAGAGTAATTTTGCACTGGCCCTATTTTTCTTAAGTACTATCATTTCGAATACTTGCAAACCTTTCATATTGCTAAGCAATAAAAAAGATAAGGTACCCGTGATAGTGATAAATCAAAACTGCCTTAGACTGGTAGCACTTGTAGTCATTATCGTATCTCTTGAGTGTCCTTCAGTCAATGGTCAGCAAAGTTGTCTTAAACCTAACATAAGAACTCATAATAATCATCAGAAACCAATTGTTTTATGTACTCTTAAAATAATATGTCTAGATTTTCTATTGTATATCTTGTTGAATGTCTTAGACATAGTTGTTTCACACTTTCCCTGTCACGATGCAAGTGGACAACTAGCATTGGTTGAGGCCATGACTCTATATCTGGCAACATATTTCTCAGTCATTCTGCAGTCAATCTCACCACAACAGGAGTATATGTATCAAAATAATCTACTCCTGACTTTTGACTAATTCCTTGCCAGCTATTCTACCACCGAAGGTCCGTAGCAAACCATCGGTGTTGTGCTTTCTTCTAAATACCCACTTACACCCAATAGATTTAGTATAAGAAGATAAATTTGTCAAGCCATTCGATATAAGAGAATCCATTCTCATCATTCGTATCTTCTTTCTAGAAAGCATAATCTCTTGAAGTCATTGTCTTGCTATGAGTCATAGCCTCATAGGATCCTCTTCTAAATTCAAGATAATAGGTATTTTATTTAATACCTCATCATCTCCACTTCAACGAAAAAACACAAACATATGTAAAACTTCCTCCTTTTTTATCAATGTGTCCTGCCGTAAGCTACACTTGGCAGTAGAAAACAAAAATGATGAATCAAAAGAGGTACCAATGAAGCATACTCAATTTTGATTCCAAAATAAAGTTTAAATGGGTAAGTTAAACTTCTAAGAGCTAAAATCGGGGCATCATATGAGGAGAACAGAGCTCAAAATATTGATCCTCCCGAACAAGTACTTTGCAAAATTGTGATTTTTATCAGCATTAGGTGCGGAAAACAGGACTCACAATTGAAAACTACCGATCAGGGCAAGTGCGACAGAAAAAGGTACCCTGAGCCAGCTGGCAGCAAGTGCGCGCCTCCATTTGGATGTGTGATGTTAGACGGCTGGCTGCCACCGCGCTGTGAAGCGGTAGCAGCGATTGGGTGCAACCCAGTACTCCATTAGTCCTGAAAATTAAAATTAATTAATAAATAAAAGACTAAAATTTAGTCTAAATTAAGTGAAATGTAAAAAGAGAACCGAGAAAGGGCGATGCATAGATACGAAAAGGAACCTGGTGAGTATGGTGGAAATAGAACGGCGAGATTGAAGGCGCTGGCCGAGAATGGACTGTACACTTGGAGATGAATGGACTGTTGATGGTCTACTGCTAGAGAGAAGAGTCCTCGAAACCGATATACAGCGCCTTGCCATGATTTTTGCTCCTCTACTGTATTCCCACTGGTTCACAGGGTGCGTGGGAATGGTGAGATTCAGGGTTTAAGGGACTAACTACATCTCGGTTCGGGCTATGGGCTTGTTATGAATAGGTAACCGACTTGGGTGGAAATTTTCGGAATATGGACTTTTTGAGAGGGATGAAAGAGAGTGACACAAATTGGATGTACTTGTGTGCTACTATTGATTTTTGGGAATCTTACAAATGTAAGTTATTTGACTTACCAATCTCTAGCTATTAATTATAGATTTATCAATATTAGTCAAGCATATATAAAAATTAAAAATTCAAATAAATAAAGTTCTTTTTCTTTAAAAATCACACGCAAAGATCTTCTTCCGTATTTTTAAGCGTGATCAACAACATTAGATGCAAGACGGAAAGAAAATTTCATGGATGAGGTAGCAAATAAGGTGATGAAATACAAAAAAAAAATTATATACAAGATTCCAAAAATCTAAGCAAAAAAAGAACTTTTTCAATGGGTATGGTTGAAATTCATTGAAAACATATAGATGAGTCAATATACAAAATTTGAGAAAGATTGAAGGTGATTTGGACTGATTTGGTATCAAAATTCGTAGTTCAAATCGAGTTCAAAAAATTCTTCTGCGACACATGTATCAAACATGTAACTCACACACAAGTATGCATGGATATACATGTGATACACATTTGATACAAATATGATACATATGTGATACACAAATGATACACATATCAGTTTTTTCATGTTCATCTTCTACTTCGAATTTTAAATTCAAACCACCTCAAAACTCCACCAAATCATCCCAAAACTGAGATTCAAGCTCGTTAAGATATACCCAATCTATTCTAATAACACTCACGCAAATAAAAGCAAAAAATTGACCCTTTTTTTTTGCAACAAATAGCTAATTGGTTAATATTAAAAATATTTGGCTAATAATAGTAATAGTTTATGTATTGGCCAATTTTGTAATAAGTTACTTATAAATGGACATAAGTGGTAGTTTCCCTTGAATTTTTATGGGATTTTGGCATGGTGACATATCCACATCATTAGCAAAAAAAAGNATATATATATATATTAAAATATATATCCTAACTTTATTTTTTTCTTTGTGTGTATTAAAATTTTATTTTCCTTCTTTGCACATCTAAAAAATGATTTGTAAATATAGTTGTTTAAAATTTATTGTTGTCTCTATATTAATGTATATCATAAAAAAAATAATTATATTATTTGTATATCACAATGTATAACACATCAAATAATATATATACCAAAATAGCTATCACAAGATAATTTTCCTTCTTTGTGTATACCAAGATGTATATAAAAAACTTATTTTCTTTCTTTGTATATCAAAATGTATGTCAAAATTTTATTTACTCATATAATAATACAAAATGAGAATGAAAATTATGTTTCAATCAGAAAAAAGCGGGAAGAAAAAATAAAGTTCTGGCTAACTATATATAAATTCTCCATATATCGATTCAACTTTTTGGATCTAACTCATTTAATTTCAATACGAATTAAGTAACTCGTAATCAACAACTTAGTGCTTAATTTCTTCGTACGAATTCATATTCATAAGTGTCAAATATTTTGTTGCGTTGTGACCATCTTTGCGGGCACATCTTCGTCATGTTTACTACTTCAGGGCTTTTAAAGTGGCAAAAATTTCAGTTTTCGAGTTAATTGTCATTGAAAGATCAAATTCGATCGGCATTGTTGCTCAAGTTTTGGTGCATGAATTGCAACTATCTTTCCTAAACTATGAGAGAGATAGAGAGAGAAGAGATAGAATAAGAAATATGGAGAGGGAGAGAGAGGGGATAGGGAGATGACAAAGAGAGGTAGACAGGGCAAGAGAGAATATAAATAGGGAAGTAGAGTTTTTTGGGATTTTGGTATACAATGCTAATGTTTTTGGGTTGCCTAATATAACTAAGGCCTAAAATTTGTCAATTCCTATTATATGTTGTCTTCCAGTGTTAATTTCTCATTTTTTAATCCTGCTAATAGAATTTTTTCCCCGTACTAAAATTTCAAAGCATGTTAGACGGAATTTTCCTTAAATGTCAGAATTTTAAAGCATGTTGATCAATTTTTTAAAACACGCAACAGTTATGATGATCGTTAGAATTTTGTGTTTTCTCATTATTGTGGCTGAAATTCTGGTGACGATTAGAATTTTATGATAGAAACCTCACAATCATCATAATTGTTACGTGTTTCAAACCTTTGGCAACCTATGAAGTGAGGCTATTTTTGCAACACATTTCTTAATGGGGTCAAACGATAAATAGAAGAGGAAAGAGATGAAGAAAATTGAATATAGTAGGAAATTACTCTAGGAAATTTTATATATATATATATATATATATATATATATATATATA